TTTTTCCACTGTACTTAGAAATTAATGTTTGGGTGAAAATTTTTAAAAATTTTGTTTGAATGTATTAAATTGTTGATTCATTAAGGTTTGAGTATTTAAAAAGATTATTTTCCTACAGGAAGTTTTTGGCATAAGTAACTCTGAGCGTCACGTGGTTTAATGTTAAAATCACCGCTTGACTTTGAGTCGTGCAGCATTTTTCATTGCAGTGGTTTTTTTGGAGGCCCCCTCAGCACCACTGGTTACTGACAACAGAATTGAAAAGGTAAAGTTTCATATTGTTCCAGCAAGAGAACGCAGGAGTAACCTAATGTACATTGTCTTGTGTTTATTGGAAAGGGGTGATTCACTATTCTTGGGCTAAAAGATCCACGGGGGTTTTTTAGCTCATTTGAAGAGGGGGTTTGTTGAATGTTGCGTTTTTTAACTGTATGTAGGCTAGCCTCGGAAAGACAAGATGGGTAAAATGATAATCAAGCGTTTCTTCTTTTTGGGCCCCCTCCCTTTGTGGAAAGGGCCCCGATGTGCAAAAAAAAATAACAATACTGTAATTTAATTCAGAGGGATGAGGAGAAGTTGTTGAGGTGGTTTGGGATGTAAGGGGAATAGATTGACAAAGAGGGTGAAAAAATTGGGGTGGAAGTAGGAAGGAAATGATCATTCCAGAAATGGTTGAAGGAGGGGAAAAAAAAGATGTTTCTATGAATGTGTTGAGAAGGGGTGAATGGAAAAAAGGGTTTTTTTAAAGTTGTGCTTTTTCAAGTGTGAGCAGGTATTTTTGTTTTATAATAATAATGTACCATCCTCCTTTGAAGGAGGGTTTGGGATATTGGTTTGTTTGGAGCGATGTCTAAACTGTTACGGGGCACCTCGCAAAGACAGATTATGGTGAATGATGGTGAGAGTGTTTAAGATGGTGAAAGTGTTTATCTTTTTTGATCCCCTCCCTTTGGTAGAAGAGGGCCCAGTGTTTTAAAAAAAAAATTGATCCAAAAGGGCATGAAATGCATGGGGCCCTACATGTGTTCCAGATTTTCATTGGCTTTCAAATGAGCCATTGTTCATTATGTTCGATACTTTTAAAATAAGTATTATACGTATTTTAAAATAAGTATTATATGTACTGTGTGTTTATTTTACTTTTACATCTGTTTTTTATGTCTAACTGTATTTAGCACTTAATATATGATAGTGTAAACACATTATCAGGATTTTAGATGCCTTCGATAATGAAAAAATGCTCTTTTCCACCCACCAGTGATTTTTACATATCACACTGGGGCTATGGAACATAGGAGCCATACAAACAGGAACCTCCTGTACTGACAAATTGTAAATTAGACATATAAGCAATATTTGGAAACTTTTATTAGGAAAGGAAGAGATGTGTCCCCACCTGATTAAAAATTGGTTGTAAATTTTCTGACGAGGAGGGGGTTGGAGGCAGTGGGGTATCCTGTCAAGGGGGAGTGTTTTGGTGTAAAAATTTGCAGAGAATCGGAGTTGGAAATTTTGGAGAAGGGTGTGGGTTAATAAAAGTATGTCGAGGGGGAAGGGGGTTTTTGAAGTGGGTTTGGTCATTTAAGGGGGGGAATGGACAAAGTAGAATGACATGGAGTGTTAAAACGTAGGGGGAAAGGGGGCAGGGGGAGGGGGCGTTCTCGAAAAGGTTGGAGGGGGGAGGGAAAAGGAGATTTTGGGGTGAGGGGTTGGGGTTCCAGCAAACATGCTTGAGCGTGTTTTTAGGAGTGAATGGGAAAAAGAAGGTTTTGGGACCCCAAGCTGTTGGAGTGTGACAGGGGGAATATTTAGTGAAGGAAATTTAGGGGGGAAAGGGCTGGAACTGAGGGTCATGACAGAAATGTTAAAAAGAGGGGGGGGTATATGTTGGATGGTTGGGATTTTTTTTAAAAAATGTATGAAAAGGGAAAAGGGACCTAAGGATTTGGGAAGAGATTAAGTCCCTTTATATAAAGGGAAAGGGGGCAAAAAAGATTGTAAAAAAATTTTAGGGAATAAGTTTACTGATTTTTACCAGGAAAAAATTACGGTAGGGTTTTAATTGAAAAATTGAGGTAAACGAATGTTGGATTGCAGATGGAAAGGAGGCTTCAGAGTGGTAGGGGTGTGTGATCAAGTTTTTAATTGAAGCATATTGTGAACGTATTTAGAAAAAGGTGGAAAAGTTTTTATTGCTTTTAGGATTTAGAAAAGGAAAATTGATAGAGTGGATAGGGGAGCAATGTGGAGATGTTACAAGTTTATGGAATAGGTGGTAATTTCTAAATGTGTAAAGAGCTTTTATGAGGTTGTGGGCTCAGGTTGGGGGTGTGTAAAGAGGGGAAAAATATTTCCCATAAAAGTAGGTCTTAGAAGGGAGGTAATGTCCCCATGGTTGTTTAATATTTTTTAGATGGGGGGTTG